ATTTTACGCGTCGCCCCGATCGTCATTTGACGCGTCATCTCATTCGGCGTTTCCTCTGTAATGAAGAGTTTATTAGAAGAATAAACTGCTGGTGTTTCTCCTCTGTCTACCGCTGCTGCAGTCAAGGACCACGTAACGGTCCTAACACATGAACTTACTTGAGGCAACATGAGAGTCTTGCAGAGGCTTATAATGGTTCCCAAGGATGAGTCCGTCCTTACTGAAAATTATATTTAGTTAACTAATCAACTCATTTTGCAGCATGGCATGACAGCACTTCATTTGGGTGCAAAAAATGGATTTGTGTCCATTCTAAATGTATTCGATCATTCACTGTGGAGAAAATGCTCCAAAAAAGTTAGTTTAAATTGTTGAATACATGCATTTTGACGGCGAATAAAATCGAGTTATTGATAAAATTTAACGGATCACGCAGAATATTTCGACTGCAGTGTAGTTAAGTGAATTTGTTAAAAGCATTTGTTAATAACTCTCTTAGCACTTTGCTTCCAAACATCCATTGAAAGAAAGAGTCATCGACAGCCTTGCCAGCGGATAATTGCTATTGTCATGTGCTAATACTGGTTGCTTTAGCTTCTCGTAGAGAGCAGATACGAAGAGGACTTTAATTTTTTACCCTGTGCCTCTTCTTTGTTTTATCCATCCTTCCTTTAACCGCTTTTCTACTTATTACTCTGCTTATCTCGTTACACATCCTCATTTTCCTCTTCTTTCTTCCGTGTTTTTACCTCCTCTTTTCTCCCCCCACTACTCTCTTTCATTCTGTTTTTCTCCAGTTCTACATTAGCGTGACAGCGTGAGTTGTAGTGATTACGCCTTGTTAGACATTTACAATTTGATGGACCGAAACGTCTTATCTCCTCGTTTTCAGATCTCGCTTTTCTTTCATCACTTCCTTTTGTTTTCTTTCTTTCTTTGATTCTCCCATTCAGTTCACCTCTTTGCATGTTTTTAACTATACCCGCATAACAAAAAGAATAACTTATGTAAAAATGTATAAATTAAAATTGCTGGGACTGACTGTTTCCAGGTTCTGATTACCTTCTATAATTCGGAAATTTATTAAACTACATGTGCATCTTAATAAATTTGTGCGCCTGAAATTTTGCAGACTGGTTTAAACGCGTTGCATATAGCAGCTTATTATGGCAATTCTGACT